TAAATATTTGCGTATATTCTGAAGAAAATGATACACTGCAGTTTCAATAACGTAACATTCAAAATCAATGGTAATATCGCACCTCGCCTTTTCTTTTCCTCTGCGGTTTGTTTTGTTCTGGTGCATTTTCATTCCTTTCTTGTAATGTGTTGCGACTACTATTCAAACACAAGCGTTATAAAGAATTGAGTTTAAGGGTTCGCCAAGTCAAACATACGACGAACAAATTCAACTAAATGAAACGAATAATTCTTACCTGCGTCTTGACATTTTCGAAACAAACGGTGTGCTTTTCTCCTGTGAAACAGAAACGTAACGTTAAGTTACACGGTTATTAACCAGCACCTTTTCAGCCTAAATTAAGAATAGTGTAGTTACTACACATCTAAAACGTATTTACATTAAAAAAAAAAAGCATTTAAGAGAAATAAACTTACTTGCAAAAAAAAGGCTTAACAATAAACACAAGCTTTAGCCAATGAGATGTTACATGAGCAGAAATATCGAACGAATTTTTATAAGTCATACGAATAAAAAATAATTTTAAGTCGAAAGGCACTGAGAGTAAATGCAAAGTCTACACAAGCAGCAACATGATCATCTGATGTTTTAACTGAAACCAGAAATACATGATCCAGTTTTGTAGGTTTATGAAAGGACGGTCCGCGCCAATTTACATGAAGCGGGAGACTACAGCTGCCCCCACAAAAACCCATCGAAGATGTATTTAAAGCGCATTAAGCACCAGTTTAACCGAAAATACAGTTAAGGGAAGCCTTCGGTTACCCATACCACTTTTCACAATAGCAGTTATTTTCAGAAAGAGTTTACAAACGCACGTCCACCTAACTTACACACAAGGATCTAATCTGGCGCCTAGCAGAACCGGCTAGCTTTCAGCAACATCCCCCTCCGAGGTCGACATTACATTCAACGTTTGCCTGTGAGATACTTCTAAACACATTCATTGCGCTTTCTGCCTCAATAACCGAACGTTAGCTAAAACAGCTGCTTTAAGGGGTCCCGAAGGGATCTTCAACTTTAGTCGTAACGTTACATGACTAAGTTAAAAGGCACAAACTTCCGTTTTAAAGCCAAAGCAACATACAACAACAGCACTGTGCCTTCTAAAACATGTTTACAACACGATTTTAACGAAGTAACATTAAAATAAAAAAGATTACAGGTGAAAGAAGACTAAAGTAAGCGTCCTTACCGCAGTGTTCAGTACGAATGAATGAATGGATGGCGCCAAGCTTTATATAGTCCAGCGGTTCGCGGCTACTGCGCATGCGCATGCGCGGCGCTCTTTTCAGCCTTTAAAAACAACCCGAAAAACTATATATAACATTGTGTTTTGGGGCTAAAAATGACCAGACAGTCTTATGTGTGATGGTTTAAAAAATCTGCATGGAATTAGAAACGATAATATCGATTGTTTGTTAGAAACCTACAGGAATGTTTGTGGTTTGTAGACTTGCTTTTAGCCGCGTCGACCTTTGGTTTAAAAAATATGTAAAAAACGCGCTTTCCTGCTTTCCCGGTTAAACGAATCCGGGGCTCGAGGACCTACTGCATCATATGCGGGTAGGTATGTGTGTTAAAAGTCGCATTTATATGAAATAATGAAGAGTTTTTGACTTTGAGGAGACGCTTCCTAGTTTGACAGCTACTAGTGGGCGGGGATTTGAATCGGTCTGACCAATCACGGTTATTCTGCGAGAAACAACGTGCTCTTGTAAACAAACCCATGAGAGGATTCTTATTCTGACAGGCAATGATAAGCGTATTGAAAATGATACTTACCATCAGTGTTGGGGAAAGTTACTTTTAAAAGTAATGCATTACAATATTGCGTTACTCCATAAAAGAAGTAACTAATTACGTTACTTGGTTACTTTTTATGGAAAGTAATGCGTTACGTTACTTTTTAAAATCTGAACAGGGCTTGCTTGTTTGTTTTTAAAATAAAAAAGTTATATTTTTGGCAAATATAAAAACCTTTTCATACCAAAAGTGAAATGAAAAAGCCTCAGGCTGAAGGGAAAGTGGATTTACATCCGTACAGTAGAATGCAGAAGAAGACATTTCAACAGACATACATTTGACCGCTTTTCCACCCGGCAAAAGAAACACTCAATAACACGCAAGGGAAATACAGTTATTCTGTCGCTACAAGAGCAATGCGACAGCTCTACTTAAACACGTAAACAAGCAGCATTGTATTGTTTTAACCTTTTGAAAAACGACAAAACCCCAGGAATAGTTTTTGGAGGGATGTGAAAGCGGCGCGAATTCTTCAAACAGTAATCCCGCTCAGCCTTTTTTGTTTTGTGTATGTTAAAATACGTCACATCCGGGGTGAGGGGAAATATTGCTACGTGCAATATATAAACAAATAACTTCTTCTTCGCGTACTACGTGTCTTCCAAATGCAGACATCCCCAGCATTCTATTTTGCATTAACATTTACAAAACAAAGTTATGAAAATTCTGAGGAACGATTTATTCATCCAGTACAAAAGCTACTGCCACATTCAGAAATGAACTTTCTTATTAAGAATGTATTAAAATGCATTTTAACTTGTGAGGAAATAACATTACGTTTCCCTGGCCATATAAAACAGTGTCACCCAAGTATTAATTAAAATATTATATATCATATACAAATCAAGTACTAAAGAAATTACAACAAAATCCACAAGTCAGAAAAAGCAAATATGGTATATTCTGATTTATATATTTTTACATCTGATTTTAGTCAGTAATCAAAGCCACTATATTAGCTGCTCATTCAGCATTGCTATAAGAGACTATAAGACTATACATGCTACAGGTCACTAGGCACAAGAGGATTAGGAATCAATATGAAAAAATATATCAAATGGTCGATAACAGAAAAAGTTCAAACAAAATGCATTTTAAATATATTGGGCATTTTTGACCCTATCAGTAACCTCTAAAAGCGCCAATGCATCAAGGAGAAGAACGAGGAGGGCATGATTAAACTGGTACAGTTAGAAATCTACTTTATTAAGGTTAATACCCACACTGGTACAATGAATGATAGGCTTGCAGTAATCATGGCTTGGGATTCTTTAGAGATTAGCTGTGTTGAGTTACAGGTTGGGATGGGTTCTTGAAACGCTCATGAGTGGAAACCTTTCGTTATAATTTGGTGTGGTGATTAAGTTACAGTATAGCTTACACATGATGCCTGAACATGCAAACACCACCTAGTCTATAAGCCGTATGTCATTATATTTGAACATTTCTGTTTACTAGCAGAAAAGGCAGAAACCTTCATTTGATATTAAAACATTTATTGAGAAGGGAGTATACATAATGACAAATAGTTGGTTTCGAGACATTTGAAATGAATTTATTTGCAAATTATACTACTCATATAAAACAGTCTGTGTATGACATTTATCCAAAACGTATCGGTTCAAGAAAAAGATAAATAAACAATGCTAAAACCCTACACTTTTGGCAAAGTGCTGTATTATTCCAGTAAACTAAAAAACAAAAACAAAAAAAAAACAGCCAAAGCATAGTCTAAAACTTAGCAATGCCACAGAGAATTTTCTCCACACAATAAACACAGAAAACATTTGCTACATTTCGTGTAAAAGTTGACAGAGCAAGTGGCTCACAGAGACAAGGTAATCCTCTGTGCATAGTAAAATTACATTTGTTTGTGTCCCTTTGGACAAATTTCAAGTTCTTCACGGATGCATTGTCATACTGTTCACCTGGAAGGCACATGATCCCCAAATGCAATTCAAGGCAAAATGAAATCCCTGTTATGAATACCAAATATCAGGTGTCTACTGACATAGTGGAAGAGGGCCTCTCCAGTATTACTCAAGGAATATGAAGAGAACCTTACGTCCCTCCCATTCCCTTCGTCCACAGAGAAAAATGTCAGAAAATGCAATATACTGCTCAACACAGACTGCAGCAAGAGAAAGAAGAAAAGCTGTAGGTGAGCTGTTTTCCTTGAGTTGCTCATGCATGTAATATGCATTCGAATGAATGTCTCGAGTCGTTTAGGGGTGACATTTACCTTGGCATTGTCACGGAAATTTACAACACCAGGTCGCGCGAGATGAAGGAATAAAGAGTAACAAACATAACCTACGAAGAATTTTAAGTTCGTTGCTACTTTTCAATATTTTGCTGTGTAACTAATCAAATAAAACATGAAAAAGGCATACAACACAAAAAGTCACTACGTTGAAAGAACTAAAAAAAAATGTAAAAAATGCTAACAGTTTCACTCCATCGTCAAAGGCTTTAACAGTCAGTTAAGAGAAAGAGTTTGTTTTCACAGTCCTCGGAGGAGCAAGCTTTCATTCAAAGTGTGAGACACACGTTATATTAAAGATTTACATCAATTACAAATATTTCCACAAGGTAACATACACAAGTTAGAGGTTCTCCAGTATGTACAGAGACAATTTACCATCTGCAAGTAATCTGCATTTTTAGCAAAGAGCAAAGGTGAACAGTGATGACCCTGAGACATGTACTGCAGATATAGAGCAAACATGAAAATTAACATTACAACACTTGATGTCTTTTTTTGTTTGTTTTTCACCTGTTGGAAAATTAGCACTACACAGTCATACATCAAATCAGTCACTAAAAATAGGAAAAACTGCTTACATACATATCTATGCAGATAACATACACTCTTATCAACTTCATACTGATATGTAATATATTCAATATTTTTTTTCTTTTGAAAATATTTTGGAAGTTTTTTTATATATATATTTTACATATTTTGAAATCTACTGTGAAAACAAGGCTTTTAGTGATAATAAACCCAGTATATTTAAAATGATTTAAAAGAGAAAAAAACAAAAACAATGAGGAAGAAAGCACTGATCTACAGAATCACAGGCAGGTTCCTTCCTAACCAGAAAAGTGCTGCTGATGATTTCATCACTGATGTGATTGAATTTAGTATGGCTTAAAAAAAAAAAAAAAAAAAGCAAAGACAAGACAAGTTAAAGGCATTGAAAGTGCCAAGCTGCCTACACATGCTCCAACAGAGCACTACAACATCGTGCTCACTATAACAAAACACTTGGTTATTCAACCTTCATGACATATAACATAAGACAGAACCAGATGGAGTCTATAAAGGAAACACGATGCAGACACATTCAGCTCGAGCGGAACCTGCCGTGAAGTAAAGTGACCTATGGCATTGATTCTAAAGGACTCCGTTCCTTCTGGCGAAAGACCAATTCTCCCAGTGTGGAAGGGGTGGCGTGCAGGGGAGGACGGGGGAGTGCAGTGGGGACCGTCTCAGTAGTTATACTGCCTCTGGCCCGGCTGGTGAACGTAGCCTCCAGTGGCTTTGGCCTGTCTGGCTCCACCATCGCGCAGCAGGTTGAGGCGGCGGAGGGCGTTGCGGGACAGCTGCTGGCGCTCCACGTTTTCACGGATGCGCTGGGCCAAGCGGCCGTTCTTGGTCTGTTCCAGAAACCCGGCGTGAGCAGAAACCAGAGCAGGTGTGTAGCAGCCAGAAGGGTGACTGGGCCGTCGCTGAACATCAGATCTGCAAAGCCAAACAGAATCTGTGAGATTCGACTATTTCAGATTGTTATATAACATTTTTACACAGCCCTCTGACATTTTTGATTCTGATGGGTCAGACGCAACATTTCGAGGTCTGGTGGTTTCGAGGATAACTTTTTTTGTAGATTGTAATGCATTATAACACAAACAGTTCCAATTTACATCAATATCTCATGTCCACATAATTATTTAATTGGTGAAATGCCATGTAATAAGTTGTATGATTGTACATGACCCCTAAAATTTTTTTTGTCTTGACTCAATAAAGTCTTCAATAATTTGTGGCCATTTATTTACTACAAGTAGCTGTGTAATAAGCAAGATAATGTACATCCAGACAGCAGTTAGCACCAAATAAACCCCTTCAGAGTGATACACTTTCAAAAATAAGGACACAACGCGGTCACTGGGGTGGTACCCTAAGGTACAAAGCTAAAAGGTACACCTTTGTACCTTATTTTTCCCCTAAATGAGACACATTATCACAGTTTTGTACCTTTTCCTGAGAGTGTACAGTGGAATAATCTCCTGACGGGTTTTATTCTGTGATAACAACCAGCTGGTTGTACATTAACACTCACAAACAAAGCTCTCAATCTGCCCTTTACCTTAAAATCGATGGCTCACGGATGCCGTCCTTGGCAGGTCGTTGACGAGGGCTGTGAACGGCGTACACGGACATGCTGGGATGCTCGATCAGAAGGTTCTCCAGAGGACTGGTCTCCAGCAGGACCGGAGCTCTGCCTCCAGCCATGAAACACGGCGGAGGGGTGATGAACCAGCTCTCTTCCAGCCCACATGTCGCCTCTAGACGCAAGAAGTTGCCGTCCTCTGTGTCAGTGTCTGCCGCCGAATCCAGAGAGGAGCAGGAGGAGCAGCGCACGGGAGAGTCCAGGGGAGCGACATCGTCAGAGCACACCTCCACCAGATCATCTCCACACACACCGGAGCAGGCCTTCGCTACAGGAGCAGACAGCAGAGAGGATGTTACTACATGGCTTCCTATAGTTATCGGTTCATTGGATTTTAACAAACTTCTCTCTGTAACATTTAAACATCAGTGTTTAACTTGTTTTGCACTGTTCACACTATTCATAAAACCCCAAATTCAGCATGAAATGGAAATTGTGATCATTTCTCTTCCCTAATGTGAGTGAAACTGCTTCTTGAGCAAGAAAGAACGATGAGGGCACATTAAAAAAAAAAAAAAAAGAGGAAGAGTAATGTGCCCAGATACATTTTTTACTTTAAACACTGCAATACATAAAATCTTTAAACTGTCCATTTTAGTTTCATGGTGACTTCAAACTTTTCAAAGCGATTTGACACTGGAAGACAATACAATGAGGGGAAGGGGAAAAAATCCCATTGACACTGAAGAAGTACTAGGCCTATATTTCATCCAAGTCATATGTAGAGTGTAGCATATCACACAAAGTAACTTGGAATGCTGAGAACCCGTAATTCATCACTGGTTAATACTGAAAACATCTGAACATGTTTGAGATATCTCCGTCTATATATACGTAATTGAAGTATCACCAGTTCTTTCGAAAACAACTCATATGTTTAGACAGAAACTGAGAGAGTAAATATTTTGCACACACTCCACTTTTATTTGTATTCTTCGTGGCTCCTGGCAGGCAACCAGAAAAGGTGTAAACAGCTGGCTTTTGGGCAGAGCCTCTGAGACGCTACACATTTAGTGTCCTCTAGAGGGCAGTGTAATCGAACTTGACGTGGACAAGCACTGCAGAAACTTGACAGCCTTCACATGAAGTTTATGTGACAAATTTGAAATTACAGTGATAACACCTTATATTTACACCAAATGTAACAAGCCCAACTAGTGATTAGAGGGTCCCACACCCATAATGGTGTTATAGAACACACAGAACTTCCCTTGCACAGAGCCACACCTTGTTTATCTGTAGCCTTGCAGCGTCCTGCCAGATGACATCAAACATATTCTCAACTCGGCTGCTTAAGAAGGCTTTTAACCCTCTTATGGCACTCTTCAATGTCCCTGAGAAGCCAGTTAACCTTTAATCCTCTGACCATGACTTCCGTCAAGCTTTATGGTTATGAAACAAGAGAAATGTTTTTAATCTCCATTCCCTTCCTGCCTACCTCAGCCTTCAGGCAACGAGTGATGCTTGGAATCGTTCTGTGTTCAAGGCCGGCACGTTTTATGTTCATAAAAGGTAACTTAATCTGTCCTATTTTTATCGTAGACACCACCATAGACACTTTTGTCTGACAGGCTAAAAGCATTGTTGCCCATAAACGTGTCTGTCCTAAAACAGGGAACTGGACCATCTCGATTGCCTTGCACTTGAAATATTCACACACATACACAACATGAGAAGGCCTGTATTTGGGCAGGCAGCTTATGAGAGGCATCATGTTAATGAGGGCATAGCGTCTGTGCCAGGGGTTACAGAATCTGTAATATGGCTCCTGCAGACCAAGTCATCAGTATCAACCGAGGTGATCTAGGATCGTCTCATGAATAAGAGGATGTTTGCATAGCCATTCTGCGCTGATTCTGGGGGAAAATAAGCAGGAATTCTGTTCAATGCATGTAAAGTTGATGCAAAATGCCGTTTGCGACCCCTTTTATGTACATCATTGGACAAATTTGAGAGTAAAATGGGATATTCTATGTATGGCAAAACTTGGCTATATAAACTGGAAATTGATCTGATCAATTTCATGCTGACTTTATTTTCATTTCATGCTGACTTCAACATTATTTAATGGATGGTATGGCCTAAGTGACATCAGCGGAAAAAGAAAGTTGATTCAGACGAAGAGCAAGTAGATTTTAATTAAAGATTCTGAAGACACTGGAAATGGACAATTAGAATAGCATGCACCAATGTTCACAATAAAGTTACAAACATGCATTAAAAAAAGGTTACAATTACTTGAAATGCTGAGACTGCAACACCCTCATTCTTTTGATACAAACTGCTTGTTCATTTCTGCATTTAGGGAGAAGCTCTTACACAAGATCCATATTTCACTTCACTAATCAAAAACAGGAAATGCAAGAAAGATCTCTCACCTAGATAATCGACCAGAATCCACTCATCGTCCTCCTCCTTCTCGTTGAAGTCTGGATCCACAGGACATCCATTGCCCTCCTCCAGGGAGTCTCCAAACAAGATGCTGGTGAACCTCTGGAACATGATATTGTCAGAGAGGCGCGAGGCTGGATGGTCCTGCTGGGAGTGGGCAAGGGCCGGGCTCTTTGGTCATCAGCTGCGGGAGCCGCTTACTGAGATCTTGGTAAAGGTGCTGAAGTGCATTAGTTACTCCTTCTCAGCTGAGGAACACCTGATGAAGATCAGCCATAGCTCTTGTTGATTGTGCAAAAACAGGCCCTGGAGGACAAGCAAGAAGATAACCGTTTTGTTTACGAAAATGTACACAAAACCTGACCAGCCTTCAAGTACAGAACATTTCCTGGTTCTGTCATGTTCTGTTGTGATTAGCCATAAATTACAGGTCATAAAATACAGACGGATATTCCTGAGAACAGACCAGCCAAAACAAAGCAGTCTAAAGTATCTCTGCTGCCATAGATACTGCCTGTCCTCTTCACATGAAGCTGATGCCTATGAAAACTGATCTTTGCACAGATACACCCAGCCTCCTTCAGGACTATGACTCATGAGGGTACCCTCATCCGTTGTTTTGCTTGCAACAACAAAGAGAGACAGCTGTGAAGTGAAGGGCTACAAGCTGTTCTTTACCCCACTACATTATTAAACCAAGACAACCAATTAATTCTCCCTTCCACCTGCTCATATAGTCATGGCAGCACTCTTTGTTTGTGTGTTTAGGGGGATGGGGGCTATTATGGGGTCACATACATATAATAAGCACCCTTCAGAACCCCAAAAAGAGGATTATAGACTGACAAGCAGAGATAAGCAGGACTGGGATGGCCTTTGTGTCAGCAGCCCAGAGGAAAACTGTACTGCTGAGAGGTCACTCTTTTATAGCTAAGGAGATATAAATTAAATACACAAAGAACTCCATTATGTATCAACTTGGTTTTTCATTAGGAGATCTTCACTACATACACATTTCTCAAAGGAAAAGCAGTGAAGAGTACCATTTAATCTCTCTGTTGCTGCAAACAAAACAAAAGAAGCTCTAAAAATAAATCATTAAAAATGTTAACACAAAATTGAAATTGAACAAAAAACGTCTATGTACTTCATGTAATAATAATTTAAAAATGCAAAGTGCGAATTAAGTTGTACTGTACTGTGCTCATGCACGTGACATGACAAAAAGAAAAATACAATTAAAGCAGAATATATTGGAACTGCACTTCCTTTTGAAAAATCATCTTAAACCACACCAAGCCTGGTCTTAGGCTGGGATCCTACCCTGGCCAAGATTGTCTTCAGCTGATTTAGCTGGTTTCCCCACCAGACCAAGTGAAAACTGGCCAAAACCTTCTGAAACCAGTGAAAACCAGCAAACCATCTTAGATTACTGGTTTAAGCAGTTATTTTAAGCAGGCCCAAAACTGAACGCTGCACACATTTCAATGTTCATTCACTGATATTGTTCAAACTGCTGGGCCAAAATGGATACAAATGGGAACAACGTTTAATGTGGAAGCACAGAACAAAACAAGGTACCTTACACTTAAGGTAATACAGTTAACTATCGCAGACGGATCAAATAATATTAATAACTGACCCATGCATTAAGAAAGCGTGCACCGTCGTGCTTATTACAATCTGAATAACTGTACAGGTGCAAACATACACGAAAGCTGTATTTACTTGTCATATATGATGGGTTATTGACCCGCACACAGAGCCTGGCCGGGGGAGGGATGAGTGTAACCCTACACCGACCGACTGGGCGGACCGCGAACCCAAACGCTTCAACTGACTTAAACTGAACAAAGCTTAATCCGTAACATCTGAACATGCGCACATTGCAGAAACAAACAATGAACATATCAAATCGCCTGCAGGCTTTGACAGGTTGTGCTATGCAGAATGTCGATATATGTAAAAACATTTTTTCGTAAATACGAAAATTTCGCTTTTTTTTCACAACCTACATTGAGTAAATGTTGATAATACATTCATAGTATTTCTATAACGTATTAATGCAGAATGTCGGTCGATCCACAACAGAGGTTTTAACTCACCTGCGGCAAAAAGTAATGTAAACAGGAAGAGGGTCGGCTTCAAGAACAAAAACAGATCACTTCAAGTGCTTGAGGTAGATTATTTGCCGTGCGATATATAAAAAATATATAAATACAATTCTTCCCGGAAGAAATTAAAAGTTTCTGGACCCTTTAGTTCGGAGTTTTGCAGTCGGTTCTTTTTCCGTTTCTTCTCCGAGGTCTCAACTGCTCCCTTTGTTATTGTTGTGGAAAATTAACAGCTGATCGGTCGTTACGTAGCTGAGGACAGCCTATGGGCGGGACTTGTTAGAACCCCCTCAGCCAATGAAATGGCGCCCCTGACTATGACTGACTGTCACCAACGCACGTGACCTCATCCCGGGAAAGCAAGACCGGGCAGAGCACTCCATGTTAAGGAGTGTCACTCGTTTGTTGGGTTGTACAAAGTTTTTGAAAATATTCTTTAAAAATATAATGGTTCAATAAACCTTACATATTGTCATCTTAACGTTTGAACCATGATTGACAGAGCAGGATCATGTAAGTGATCAAATGTACTGAAGACAGAACTATAAAATCATTTGGAAGAATCTACTGGCATTACATAACTGAAATGACTGGAATTTTTTCATGAAGTTTATCTTCAACCAGACAGTGCTAAAACATCCTGATGGCTCTAAAAACTTTTAACTATGTTAATGTGTACCTTACACAGTTTTCATCCAACTAAACAAACTGTTAAAAGAAAACAGCATACGATTATGTACAGTCAGCTGGTTTGGTCACCATGAACCATGACATAGCATCCTAAAAATGTATTAATTTACTTACCAAATAAATAAATGGACATAAAATATAGATTTGATTATTGGAAAAGAACATGATTACACAGCTTCAAAATAGACCTATCTGACCACAGAATGTATGACTGACCAATCAGAATCAAGTGCATCTAATAATTATTAAAAGACTTGAGTAAAACTGTAATTTTGGGGTAAATTGTAAATGGTATATTCTTTTTAGCTCTTTATTGAGTGAAAATGTCTAGAACAAAACATTGAAATCCTCCCTGTTATAGATGTAGGTCACCAGTTTTTTGGGAACAAAGCACTCCACCCCCCTCAACACAGCTCAGATGGATGTATTCAAGAAGCCTGTTTTGCTAAGGTTCAGCCATGGCCCATTTTCTGCCCCTGCTAAGACACTATAGTTTGAACAAAAGGACTTACCCTGGTGAGTCAGCAGATCTAATAAAGCAAGCTAAACATGTTATTGCGTCATCCATATATTCAGATAGCTACATTAATCTATATAGATAATATATTATATATGATCATTATTAATAGCTAGTGATATTAAAACACATTTATTTAATTTGACGTAAGATGAGCAAATGAAAACAAGGCTGTGAGGGACAGTAACACCATATAAGCTCACAAATGGATGGGAGTTTGTGTGGTGGTCTTTATACAGGTCCATACACATATTCTCAGTGGTAACCTTTTTGTGAGTTATTCTTTGATGGAATACAAGTGTCCATGGATGACGAAACTCATATGTCATAGAATTCTTGTGGCATTTCCAGAGCCTCTTTTTCTGACGCAACTAAATGTCAAAAGGGGAGTGTGATGAAGAGTTTAATCACAAAAAGCACTACGTACACAGACATGATCTCTGAAATGATGGTTTACTACCTGACACTTAGGTTAAACAAAGCAGACTGAAAAATCAAACACATTGCATAAACTTACAATGGCCCCAAAATGTATTTGGAGGATACGTGACGCATGCATTAAATATTCAATTGTCAAACAAAATGACATTTAGTTTCAAGAAATACTATCACAATCACACTGATTACATTTCAAATAATAATAAACCAAACTGGAAAACCGGATTTGGGCACTTTCTGGACATGTCAAATGTTATGAGCTACACCTGTGAACTTGAACTCAAAATGTACATAATTTAAAGTGCGCCTTGAAGTATGCATCTACATTTTTAGTATACAGCAATTTGAAGTTCTAAGGCCATCCATATAGTCACAAGAAAGCACTACAGTGAAGTAAAAATCATCTGGAATGAATTTGTAATTGTAAACGTATGTGCATGGTCACAAATGTCAATCTTTTGACTCCATTAACAAAGTTCACTTGAAAGCAATCTGTAATCACATTGCAACACATTAGAATCCTCAGTAATATCTAATGTAAATCAAGTTGGAAATGAAAATGCAGATTGAAACTCAAAGCACCTAAGGCCTATGTGTGACTGTTAGGGTGGAGGGAGATCAAGAGTACAGATGATGATGCAAAGAAGCTTAGTGTGACATCTGGGTAGAGGATTGCATCATGTGAAGAGGACAGACAGGCAGGTGGAGGCACGAGCGTGTGTGAGTCAATGAGCTGTCAGCCATGACATCCTGCACCTGTAGGTCTTGTGGTTGTGCGAGACTGCATTAATGTTGAGGCTTGTAAAGAAACTGACGTTAAAATGTCGTAGGAATCTTGTGCCTCTAGAAATATTCCTCTGCATACCAAACCCCTTAAAGCATGTAGTAAAAAAGTGACAGCATGATGCATCAAGTTAAGGCCTGAAAAGCCCTGAACAATTTTTTAAATGTCAAATTGAGAAAGATATACTTTGTCATTGAATATAATGTAAAGACTGCATTAATGTTGAGGCTTGTAAAGAAACTGACGTTAAAATGTCATAGGAATCTTGTGCCTCTAGAAATATTCCTCTGCATACCAAACCCCTTAAAGCATGTAGTAAAAAGTGACAGCATGATGCATCAAGTTAAGGCCTGAAAAGCCCTGAACAATTTTTAAAATGTCAAATTGAGAAAGATATACTTTGTCATTGAATATAATGTATGATATCACACTAGTATGCCAGTATTGCACTTTTACTGTTGTTAAGATAGTGTCATTTTTTAGAGCTTGAGAGGAATACAATATAAAGCTTTTTAGATGAGGGACGACCCCCATCCTTAACCTTGTCAGATGCAAAATATGACAAACAGATGAGTTTTGAGTTATGTAGTGGCAAAAAAAGTGAAAATTCCAGACAATCATTAAAAACAATGACAAAGCACACAAATGGCTTTTATTAGTCGTTTTGTTGGTTGTTAAAGGTGACCTAATTTGGGACCCATGGACTCAATGCTATTTAACAACTTTTGAAAAGACAGAGTCTCTCATTTGCATTTTATATGGCATAAATATATTGCAAGGAGTTTAATGGAATAGCAAGTGACAAACAATGCTACTGGCATGGCATTTAAATACTACTGACAAACCAGCACAAAATTAAATGAAACACGATGAAGCACAAATATGTTCTTTGTTGAAATGATCTAGTCAGAACAACCACTTTAACAAAAATTTAACAGCACAATAGAATCCACATCTTCATGTTCTGTGACACACACACATCTGTTCCTGAACACAATTTTCTATTGAACACACCCAGGAGAAACAGGCTTATACCTTTTCTCTGGAAGAACACGCCTTTCATTTGCAGTCTGTGCAATCACAACCAATTGTGTCCTTTAATGACCTGACAAATTCATTATCAATTCTATCTCAAAACAGATAAAACAGCAGTGTTTTTGATTAGCAGCCTGACATGTATGAAGCAGTACATTAACAATCTTTATATAACCTAATAAGTTCATTAAAGCCAAATTTTAGTAACTGATCCAGTGTATGGAAAATAAAAAAAAATTGGAATGTAAATGTATTTTGAGAGGGTGCTCAGTGGAAAATCAGCCATTTTGTGCACAAACATATATGCAATATAAAAAACAATTGCCATTTCATATAGAAAAAAAATCTCATAGTTCATATTTTGTAATCATTTTGTTTCATACATTCATTGAAATTCAAAAGGCTATCCACCAATGATCCTGCATGAACCCAAGAACATAAACAGGGGTGAAAGTAATTAAAAAGGTCACGCACATAGGTTAGGCTGTAACTAACCTCAATGTCAAGCCAATCTGAGAGCAACCAGACGATCTGAATTAGAGAGATCCAACATAACTTTCAATCAATCAAATCTTTAATGGCACAAGGAATTGTGCAAACAAACAAAATGTACCATTGTTTATTATGCATGCTCTTTTGATAGCAATTTCTATTGTTTAACAAAAGGACACGCAACAAAATCACTCACTTAAAATGAGTGTCAGCAGCCTCAGACGCTCTGATTAGCATCATGACCGAACCGTGGACAAACAAGTACCCTCTTTAACCTGTGTGGCATCTGCCTTGATTAGATTGAAATAAATAAAAAAAAAATACATCAAAAACCTGGATTGAAGTCTTTGTCCCGGTCTGCTTTACACTTACAAGGCGATCAGCATAGCGGTCGCTTGCAGTGAAGAACATATGCAAAGCAGGCAGTGAGCTAGGTGGAAGTTAATAAACAGTCAAATGTTTCACACTGCTGACAAACACCTTTCACTATTATATGACATGATATTTCTGAAACTTTGTAACTTAAGACATCATTTTATGGGCGAAAAAGATGTACAAGCTAAATTTTACCTCAAAATAACAACAACAAGAAATTATATTTTACATCATAACATTAATGTCAAGCAAGCAAATTTCCCCCAAAATTCTCATTATCGTAATATATCTAGGTGTTTTGCTTTCACTGTATTTTATTTAAATTGAACCGTGGACAAATAAGTACCCTCTTTAACCTGTGTGGCATCTACCTTTATTAGATTGAAATAAATAAATAAAAATACATAAAAAACCTGGATTGAAGTCTTTGTCCCGGTCTGCTTTACACTTACAAGGCGATCAGCATAGCGGTCGCTTGCAGTGAAGAACATATGCAAAGCAGGCAGTGAGCTAGGTGGAAGTTAATAAACAGTCAAATGTTTCACACTGCTGACAAACACCTTTCACTATTATATGACATGATATTTCTGAAACTTTGTAACTCAAGACATCATTTTATGGGCGAAAAAGATGTACAAGCTAAATTTTACCTCAAAATAACAACAACAAGAAATTATATTTTACATCATAACATTAATGTCAAGCAAGCAAATTTCCCCCAAAATTCTCATTATCGTAATATATCTAGGTGTTTTGCTTTCACTGTATTTTATTTAAATTAGCATCTATTAAAAAGTACAAGCAGTACCAAGATGCATAAATAATTTACAATTTAACAGATATAATTTTTTTGTGTTACAGTTATGAGAAATAAGAGATTATTATATATTCAAGATGAAAAGTGGGCAGAGAAAATTTAAATACCATCACAAAAAAAAAAAGGTTTAGAGTCCAAAATAGGATTCATTTTTAAGGGAAAAATATGATTATTTATACAGTTGATTTGGGAGTTTAATATGATCTGGAATATTTTGACAGGTTTAATGAAATTCATCCTTCCACATGTCTCTGTGTTTGCCAGTGAAACATTTAAACTCTTAAAACAAGACAAGCCTAAATCTATTTGAATGCTAAACAGGAAACAACACAGGAACTACAGACTCGAGTAAATGTTCAGAGCTAAAACAGAACCTGACAAAACACTTCATCTCAAACCTCTTCCCAAAGCCCGGATTCACTGCTTTAGAACAGAGAGAAGAAAAAGAGCAACTTTGAGCTTAGCACAGAAGAAATGTCCTTCTCTTGCTTTCCTCGAGAGTGTGAAAACAATCCAGGCCTTGATTTTTTTCTTTTTTCATATCGTGTTTCTATGGCTGGTTCTAAGTGCCTAAGACAACACACAAAACAGCACCATGATAAGGCTGGCAGGAGTTGGCAAGGCGTTTACAGAAACAAAAGGGCTGAAATCAAACTAAACTGAATGACCTCTAGAGCCACTGGAGGAAGAAAAATCATTCAATAAAACGGTTTCAAAATAGCAGTTTGGCAAGTTCCTGCAGGAAGGATTCCTCAAAAAGAGTTCATAGTTCAAAACTCGTCTGTTCCTATGGCAACAGGCGGAACAACTCGGCCATTCTGTCAATAAAAAGGCTTTGTGGTGATATTGCTTCTCTTCTCATCTGAAGACCAAAATAAAAGTCTTCACTGAGGTCAATGAAATAGTATTTTAAACTATGAATGATGAGAAACTGGTTCTTACATTGCTAGCAGCTACTATGAAAGTGTACTGAAAACCCAAACAAACAAGACAATGTGCAAAATGCAGTCAAACTGCACAATCAGGGCACTTGGCATGTGTTGAACTGGCGTCTACAGACTCAGCAGGGGCGAATGTGAAAGCACTGAGCTGCGCAGACAGCTGTTTGGATGCTAACGCCCATCTCATTGTCCATCATCGCCAATTTGGGCGCCCCAATCCAAAGACGGATCCAAAAGCTCATAGATTCACAGCAGGAACAAACAAACCCTTTCCTCGTTCTCAGACTAATGAGGGCTTGTTCAGGCTAGCTAGCTCGCTCGCTCTCTGCTGGATGGCACACTTGCATAACCCTGCACAAACGCAGACATTTTGAAACACGGTTATGAGGAGTCTTGCGAGTCAGAGTCTTCTTGCTGAAAAATAACTTTCCCAGACTTCATCCCCTGTCCTCTGCTTCGCTCCACGGACCCGTTGATCTCTCCCAGTGGCAAGTAGGAGTAGTCCGCCCGCTGTCCGCGTGCTTTGCATTTTCTGCACGTCTGGATAAGGTTACCGGCGAGGCTGGCCAGCAGCGACGTTGCCAGGATAGCGCAGACAACCAGCCAGCTTTGTCTGCACACATAAACAAAACACTCTCAGGGGGAGGAGTTGCACTTTGACCTCTGACTCCACCGCTGCTGCCCACAGCCTCCACAAAGCACTTGACTGCACAATCCCTTACTTGCATGTGAAAGGCCGAGCTGACTATTAAATTAATCTGTGCCACTCCACTGCTGCAGAGTTGTTTACCAGTACAGTCGGGGGAACTTGGTTCAGATCTGTCCAAAAGCTCATTCTGCTAAACAAGGGCCTGGAATTTGTCAGAGTGAATTTCCATGGCAATAATCAAGTTACTCAAACATGCAGATAGGGACTGGTATAAATGACAAGTGGTTTGAGATAAGATTTTTTCTCTCATGCTGTGGAAACTGTGGCTTTAAGGCATAGGAAAAACATGTCCTATAATTGTACCCAACATTTAGTTTTTAAAATTAACAACATTTCCACTATGAAAATGAACCAGAGAGACAAATGCACCACTGTGATTGTATCAAAACCACCTGTCCTCAGTCCACAATTCAATATTTCACAGAAAAAAAAAAAAAAAAAAAAAAAAATATTTTCCTACACATTCCTTTTTTAAATGTATGGTCATAGTTTTGAAGCTGTAAAACATTTATGATGTTTTTTTTTTTTAAATAGGCTCAATCACAGATTCAGAAACAGAAGCAAACAGTCTACAAGGTGGTTGTTTTGACAACTATGAAACATTGATTGTGTAATATAATTCATAATTTGAGAAAATATTTGGATTTTGTCCTTGCATTTATCAGAAAGCATTTCACTGTTTATCAATGGTATGACATACATTTAATTAATTAATTCATTCATTCATTCTTTTTCAGTTTTTTCAGACACAATCCCAGTAAGTTTAAGTGCAAATGTGCTATGACCAGTGATGTTATTCTTCTTCTTCATGCATTATTCTGGACCCTTGAGCATTGTGTGAATTTAATATAACCCACACCAAAAGGTGGAAAAATATATATATATATATATATATATAAAACTATTAAAATATATATTATTTCTTATTATATAATATATAATAACAATGCTATATATATAATTAAATATAATATTATTTTGATAAATATTACAGTCTTTATAAAATACTGAGTTATGGTCTTAAAGTATATTTTCCTGTGTCATATATCAGCTCTATTTCAGAAAATATAAAGAAATTATTCTGGATTTTTAGACACATTTTCTCATTTAGACTAGGACTGATTATCAACTAGAAACACCAGAAAAACAAAACAAATTCTGTATTTAATACATATTTGCCATGTAAAATTAGTTATATATTAATTATATTTTTTTAATTGTAATTGCATGCTACACTTATAAATATTCATAAAAATTATTTTATTTGAACGCACACATGATTTTTGTATCTGACAGTACTGACACATAGTAAGTAATAAAGGTTGACAAAATTTTATGTTTTGTCTTATTTCTCAAGAAGTGGTGAGAGGACACATGTTGGCTTCTGCTATGGTGTGTGTGTGTTTGTTTGTTTTTGGAGCACTTACTCAGACAAATAGGGTTTTGGAGCATGAGCTTCCACCTCTTGTCTCCATTCCCTCCACATCTGGGTAGCCAGGCAGTGACCAGCTGAAAGGTTGTGGGAAAAAACAGTTTTTAAAAAAATTTTTTTATCAAATGACCAACTTGAATAGGTTTCAAAAATCTGCGAGGGGAAATCTTTCGCACACACATGAGATCACATGGATTGCTATGGAAATGATTGGATTTTGCCTGTGAAAATTTGCAGAAAGAGGCAAATGTGACCGCACCTTAACAATTCATAATGGACACTGATTTTTAATATATAATATTATTTAAGATATCAAGAAAATATTAAGATCTATCAAATATCCTTTTACTTTTTTCTCTTAAAGTTCAATTATAATATCAGTCAAGCTTTTTGCACAAGAACAATCGAAATGTAACTTTTATGACCATTTGCAACATGCTCTCTGAACCTTAAAATTAAACGGGTTTTCTGCACCCATTATGGTCCAATACAGCTCACACGGCCCTATTATTCAGTTACAGACTTGGGAAAGCCTATGTTAGATTGTGCAAGAACAAAAAGTGCTTTTTGCAGTTCCAAATTCCAAAATTTGAATTTACATTTGGAGTTCAGAAATTATAGAACGTTTTCAGAGTGCAACATTTTATAATGAAACATCAAGGAAAGATCCAACTGGATATCAAATCTTTCACAGAGCAAACAATGGAGAAGGATATCACCTAGAAGACAGAGAAAGATAAGCAGAAAGCTGTTCACGTGCAAAGCAGATGGGATCATAATGAGCCTGTTCCTGAACTCCAGAGAACAGGGGTTTGGGGTTTATTATTTCTCTGCAGGGAAGTCGGAGAAAGCATCTTCTTCTCACGTTAAATGACAGAGGTCAGAGAGTTGGGATAGAATGAGCTGACAAGGTTTTTTTCTGGTCTTGACACAAATAGCTTCTCTGTGGCAGAGATCATCAGTAACACGAGGGGCTGCTGGGTAGACTGTGATTCTGCAAGGTCTCTTTTCTCAACACCCCCTCCGCAAACACCCAGCAGCTTTGTTTATCACAGATTGTTTGAGGATGTGTGTGTGCAAGTTTGAGTAGAGAGGTTGCAATCATTTGATAGTGAGAGAGTTAATCAGCCCAAAGTTAAGTGGAAAAAGGCTGGTGAGAAATTGAGATCCGTATTTCAGGCAACTTGAGTGCCACGTTCTACAGTAGAGAACTGTGGACAGACACTAGCATACACACACATATAGAAGGACAATGAGGAATGCTTATGGCCGAAGCTATAAGCAGAGAGAGTTATGTGCAGAGATAGTGTGAACATTAAACTGATCTATAGAGACGTCACACGGGGAATGTGTCGTTTACATGTCGTGTGAGTGCTAATAGGGGCTGTACCGCACCTCTGTGCAGGCTGATGTTTCTCTCTCCTTGGTATGTGGTGTTGCAGCTTCCTGTGACAGATTCACATGGGCACATGTCCTGGCATTGGCACGGCTGCTTGCAGTTCAGCCCGTAGAATCCAAGAGGGCATTCTGGGACGACAAAGAGAGCAGAGACACAGTTAAGATAATCTATTCTAAAGCAGCATTGCATGCATTACTCAAGGCAATTCTAGAAGGCATTGCAAGAAAGAAAGGTTGGTTAAAAATATGTTTTAAGTTCTGGATACTTCCCTTAATATTTGTGTGTGTATTAAGTATTTTTTGAGCTTATTTTAGTATGTTAAGTTTTGTGCTAATATCAAACTGTTGGACTCAATGAAGAGCAAGTATTTGCTGACATTAAGTTCCTGCCAATGAACAGCGTTTCATATCAGACAAAGCATTACAGCAAAAGCAATTCAATTTACATTCAACTGACACTCTCATCCAAATTATTTTATTTTTCTATTTATTTTATTGTTATATATATATATATATATATATACATACATATATATACACACACACACACACACACATATGAATGAGTGTATTTTCTCATCTTATTTTTTATCTGCGTGTTGTTTGTCTCTGTGTACTGGTAGCCTGTGACACTCTAAAACGAATCCCTTGTATGTGCAAACATACTTGGCAATAAAGCTCTTTCTGACTTAACTTACGCACATGTTTTATGACATAAGCTTAGGCGTCTCTTAAACCTATATCTGGAAATATAATCACCCACATGTTAAATAGGTTTATCAAATGTGCATCTGTCAATATACCGAAAGCAGTTGAGATTAGACTGCATACCTCTCTCGCAGAAACCTCCATGGAAACCAGCAGGACAGGTGCACTGTCCGTGAACAGAATCACATGAGCCTCCGTTTGCGCATGCACATGTTTGATTGCAGTCATCGCCATAGAAACCTGCTGCACATACTGCGAGGATACAGACAGATGTTATTCATTGTAGAAGTATAAGCATTTTGGTTTAAAATATCTAAAATAACCACTGCTGACTTTAATAAACTCTTATGTAAGAGTGAATGACTAAATGTAAATGTAAAGGTCTCCCAAGTAAAGAGCTACTCAGATCTTTATTTGATAGTTTGATCATTTAGAATCTGTATGACAGGCAGCCAAGCTGATTTTGCCCTTACCTTGGCTACAGTTTAAACCCATCCATCCAGCATCGCACACACATCCATCTGTTCAGAGAGAGGGATAATAAAGGAAAAACAGAGAGAGAACTGTAGTTAATGGGTTATAAAAAAAGAATTAAAAAAAAAATTAAATACTACCTTATATGCAAGATAATTTTCTCTGTTAAAAACATTAATTAACTACAAACAATCTGTAAGTTTTTAACAATACATTTCATCTAGTGTAAAGGATGTAGTTTAAGCTACATACTTTATACAAATCAATGTCAAATGTCGGTAACACTTTATTTTACACTAGCCTTTATGCATAAATCATTAGAAAGGTATTCATCGTAATGCATATATATATATATATATACACACACACATACACACACACATAAATAACTGTAACCAAAGTTAAAATGCATTATAATATTTGCAGATTCCTTGTTACATCTAAAATAGATTGTTTGTCAATATCAGGTTATGTGGCTACATAGTCATGTATTTAGATAAGCAGACATAATGAATATGTTACGATGAATAAAGCTTATTACAATTATTACAAGGATTAATGCGTTACATTTTCTCAAGGTGTAACAATGAATAGATGTGTTATGTATTATAACTGTGGTTAGAATTATTAATGAGATCATATAATGCATAATAGGGTGCATTACAATGCTCAATTAATGCATAAAAAAAGCTTCAAGTAAAGTGTGACCATAATGTCTTTTTGCGTTACATTTTCTCAAGGTGTAACAATGAATAGATGTGTTATGTATTATAACTGTGGTTAGAATTATTAATGAGATCATATAATGCATAATAGGGTGCATTACAATGCTCAATTAATGCATAAAAAAAAGCTTCAAGTAAAGTGTGACCATAATGTCTTTTTGTGATGTAAAGGAGTGTATGAGAGAGAGCGACTCACTCTCAGTGCAGATTCCATGCTCTCCACATTCAGTCTGGCATGTGAGATTGGCACATCCTGGGCCGCTCCAGCCCTGCTGGCATACGCACTGGCCCTCCACGCAGCGCCCATGTCCGCTGCAGTCCTCCGGCTGGCACATCCTCTCATGAACACACAACACAGTGGAAACCGCCCGTGGGCAGTGCCACTTCGGAGTTTTGCTGGGATTTAGGTGAAAATGTTGTGATAAAACTGCCAAACTCAGCACACTGTTGTTTGCAAATGTGTAGTTTTGAATTTACACACCAGTAGTCTGAAGGGTAATTGGCCAGGGATCCGTTGAGGATATAAGTGGCCGAGCCGCCTCCATCCAGATTGATGGCGTTAATGACATTCTGTTTCTTCAAAAACTTTGCCACTTGCCAGAGGTTCATTCTGCAAAGATAGCAGTTTAGGAAACGCGTGCAAAAATAAACTGAACTAAACTGTACCTGAACTTCTGGTACGCACTAGTACGTATTTGGATTTAGCTGGCCCACTGTGGTTTACATAAAGGTTTTAAAACCAAGCTGAAACTTTTGAAAAGCAAGCTGCAAAAATAGGTTATTCAGAAATCATATGTCACACAACCATGAGAACACAACTTAGCCAACCATAATAAAGGTACAGATAATTTATACATAAATCTTATGCATGTTTAATTTCATTTAAGGGAAACGTTGGTTTAATAAAGGGCCAGAGTGACAAGATTTTTCCCTTTCTTTTTAAATATTTTTCTAAAGTAAAACATTATTCTAATCTCATCTAGAAATCATTGAAATATGCTGATTTGGTGCCCAAGTATTCTTATTATTTATCGATGCTGAAAACAGTTGTGCTGCTTAATATTTTTGTGGAATCCATGATAGATTTATTTTTTTAAGGATTTATTATTGAATAAAAGAACAACATTAATTTGAAACTAAAATCAATTCTTTACTGTCATTCAATTTAACATATCTTCACAGCAAAAAGTGGGGGGAAAAACCCTTACAGAACCCAAACCTTTGAATTGTATATTATGACGTTTTGTTGCAAGAGACCTTGAGTAACATTACAAGTGAACTCAAAGAAACAAAAAAAAGCTAATAAAGTCATGAATATACCCTCCCTGAATGAAAAAACGCATTCTGCTTTTGCATTGTCTTCTTGAGCAAGGTTCATTTTGGGTTATTTAGTGTTGTAGCATGCACAGACAGACAGACAGGCAGGCAGAAGGGGAGGAATCAATGTTTACAGTGATAAACAACTGAGATCAGCTCAGGTTCAAAGTCTATTCTCACCCTCTTACACCCGTTTGACCATCGACGTGGAAGAGGATGAGTTTGCCCTCTGCATCGTGACCCACTGCCGTACGGGCAGATATCACGTCCACAAAGTACTGGAATTTTCCTGCAATATAAAAGATTAATGACCTATTGAATGTTGTATAATAATCTTGGAGCATAGATGTATTCAAAAACAAAAGGACAAGTGCCTGAACTACTGTTGAAAATACAGTTTTTTTTATATAGGGAGGAATTTTAGGGAGCCAGATAAACAAGCTTATCATATGCTCACACTTCAGACAGAATCTTGTCTAATCTTACCAGTCTTCTGTGTTTCGTCACATTCTGCCTGGATGCTCTCATTGATGTAGATCTCACCGTTTCTCAGCAGCCACACCACCCCACTGATCAACTGCACGAAGTGAATACTTTCCGTACCCACTGTGTATATATATATATATATATATATATTACACATTAGGGAGCCAGATAAACAAGCTTATTATATGCTCACACTTCAGACAGAATTTTGTCTAATCTTACCGGTCTTCTGTGTTTCGTCACATTCTGCCTGGATGCTCTCACTGATGTAGATCTCACCGTTTCTCAGCAGCCACACCACCCCACTGATCAACTGCACGAAGGGGTTTATCTGATCCAGGATGTCATCCTCCGACAGATAGCTAAGAAAATACACAAGAAAGAGCAAGTGAGACAGATCTAGGCTGGTAACTGAAAGGCTGTAGGTTCAAACCACATAACGGGTTTGCCTTTGAAATATGTTTTAGGCACAATTTTCTTTCCTGTGTTGATGCAACTCCTATTGAAATAGGAAGGTGGGTTGGGATATTTTTTGTAAATAACCAGATGCCATTTAAAAGTCTCTTGTTCATGCTCAAAGCTGCATTCATTTAATCAAAATAAAGAAAAAAAAGGTGTGAAATAGTTTACTTATTAAAATAAGTGCTTTCCATTTAAATATTTTTAATGCATAATTTATTCTTGTGGTGGCAAATTTTCAGCAGCAATTACTCCAGTATTCACGGTCACATGGTCCTTCAGAATAGGCCTGTCACGATAACTTTTTGTTGTGCGATATATTGCCCCCGAAATAATTGCGAAAAGTGATATTACGGTCATTTTAAAGACCATTTTATGCCACTGAATATATAATCATAATATAACAGCATAATAATGCAAGAAGGCCTACACGCTTTCAAATGACAACAAACTTTTAATTCTTAAGAATATTTAGATCATGGAAATTAAGTATCAAAATATTAGATACCTTAAAAAACCTGAGTAAATAGTAAATAAAAATTTTCTAACGAAGTTAGAAAGTGCAAAGTAACAAGTAGAAAAAAGAAAACTGCACAAAGAACTTGTATGGAGATTTTTCCATCTACAGATTTTTCCCTGACCTTCTTTTCTCTGTAAATTAAGGGTGCACACTATTGCTGAAAAACTCAATCACTACTTAGCAGTCAGATGTTCGTATGCACAAAGGCACAAATCCCTAGACAAGGCCATATCTGCAGATGAAGCATTTTTTAAATTTGAACTAGCACCTCATGACTACACAATGTTATGTACGAGAAGCTGCAAAAGACACAGGCGCAAGTGGAATGTAAAAAACACGGTGACATAAATTTTTTAAATAAATATAATGGGCGATATATTGCATCCCCAAAAATGATTGAGGTCATGTACATATATTGTGCGATAAGTCGATATATTGATTATTGCGACAGGCCTACTTCAGAAATCATATTATGATTGCTGAAAACAGTTGTTCTGCATAATAGGATTTCATGATACGTTGAAGAACATGGATGTGGATTTTTTTTATAACATTATGAATGTATTGTAAATGCAAATATTAATTTTGATTAAAAAATAAAAAAAAAAATAATAATACACACCTTACTGACCCAAACTTTTGAACGGTTGTGTTCACCACACTTGACAGACTGCACTATGGACTAAAGCAATAAAGGCACTTTCAAAAATACATTCTAGCAACTTCCTTTACAAAAAAAAGCTGACTGTTTGGAAAGGCAACAAAGTATAAATATGATCACAACCAAAGGCACATGAACCATGATTTGCTACTTACTACTGCTAGCCAGACGCTATTTTAGTGTTAGAGAAAGAGCATTTACTTTGCTAACCGGCATGAACTAAAAGCCACAATCTTTAACACCAGGCTGGTCCAAAAGGTTTTCCCAATAATACCCGTATTGTATTTCACACTGGATAAAAGTGTGAACTAAATGAAAAACTTAGTAATTAGCAAAAAGCAAACATTTGATTTGATAACGACTACAGTGTCAGCAAAGCAACACATAAATAATCCCCTTGCTAACTGGCTGACCATGTGCACTATTTTATACTCCATTGACTATAGGCTGTTTTGAATTGCTTAAAGCTCATCCAGGTGAATGTCAAAATATGCTATATAAACACCTTATCTAACGTCAGAACATTCCGGTTAAAGGCCCTTAACGTCATAATGAATGACAGACCGAAACACTCTGGGTACATAGCGTTCCAAAGTACTGCCTATTATTAAGCGCACTGGCGCATTATGCAATATTGCCATGTTTTTGTAAAGTTTCTATTTTAGGAAACAGATGTTCTAGGGGCCAAGCATTCCCACGACTTACTTCCTCCAAATTCTGCACCCATATTTAGGTTTAGGTTTGTTACAGCACCCTGCAGTGCAGGAAACCACTTAGTCTTATGCTAACTGATAATGTGGCAGTGCACTCAAGTACACTAAATATCTTCTTTTGTGTTCCACAGACGAAAATAAATATCATGTGGCTTCAAAGAAGATATTGAGAGAATTTTCATTTTTGGATGACCTATCCCTTTAAGGGTGTGATACAGATATAAAAGCACAGCTTAATTATAGGCAGGTCAAAAGTACACCAGCACCCAACCAGGAAGGTCTAGCTCAATTTTCTATTGTTTCTCGAGTCTCCACAAAAAAACTAATTAGGCAACCGATGAGGGATGAAACTGAAACCTAATTATAAAGTCTTTTATAATAAAAAGCTAATTGCAAGCGATTTTCAAAATAAGTCAAAACTGCTAAATACATCAACTCAAGAAGAACAGGCCACAAAATTGTCATTTTAAATCTCCATCCCAACCAGGGGTTTGCAAACATTCAACTTCAAGAGTTTTGATCATCATCTGCACTACATAATACACGTCCTTACCGGAGGCCTTTGCATTGGGACAAACATACTCCTAGGTATATAAGCACGAAATTCACGGACGATGTTGCCATAAGACATACGTATGATACAATAAAATAAAAGAAGTTACTGTCCCGTTTATATCCGTCTTCTGCTATGAAAGGACTTTCACGTGTGCTGGTCATATGATGCGAGTCACGTGAACTGATCTGATCTGTCATTCATTTTTTCGCTCGCTGTAAGCGCAAACAACTGTGCAAAAACATTTAATGTAAGTAAACTGCATTTGAATGAAAAGTTATGACATTTTAAGCGCCATGAAAGTAATATGGTTCACTGCGAAGCGAAACTTAATTCGATTTACTTTTGAGCGGAACGTACTATTAGAAGTGCTTGCTTCCAGGGGAGTTGTAATGTGACGCACACGCAAGAGGAGGTAGCGTTACAGCTCAAGGAGACCCATGCATGAGGTTTGCAATGGCATCCAGTGTAAACATAAAGAATGGACTTTTAACCACCAAAAATTCTCTCCATATAAAGATTCCCTATCCCACATTTAAACAGAGGCCAACAGAGATCAAATGCTCAAGAGCATTAACAACGGGACAGCACAATGAACAGTTCTGTATTGATATTGTAAGGTAAGTTATTATTAGTTTAAAATAGATTCACTTTTAGTAGTTTTATCGTGTATCATGTTTATGATGTATTCCAGAATACCTTTATTTTTCTCTGTCTTTATGACATAAAGTCTAGTCTTCATGACTATCTTTAAATAATAATGTAAAATGCAATATATACAAACATGAATTTTTTTATGCTTAAAGCTCATGGTTAAAATTGATGTCAGTTGTTAAAATCAATGCTAGAGATGTCTAGGTAATGTATCTGTCCAGACATTGAAAAAAGAGAAAACTTTTCATTAAAAATCTGACATGTATAATGTATGTATATATGTTCTGGAACTTTTTAAAATGAGGAATGTGATTAATTTATGCCATAAGTGTATAAATTCAGTGTAGAAGGAAATAATTTCAGTGCTTTATTTAGGCTTAGTTTTGTAAATGTAGGTTATGGACACTTCGGATCACACTGAGTGAATAACACTGTACTGTCATCAATAGGAAGAGGGACTATGAGGGGTTTTTGTGTTCATTGCTTTTTCCTGAGGCTGTTCGTCGATCTGCACTGGCACTGAGGGCGTTCAATGTAGAACTGGCACAGGCAGGTATTCCAGCTAATGAGTGCAGCAAAACTCTTTTAGTCAGTTTGGTTTAAGCTAATTTACTTGTTCTACAGATATAAATGTGAATCATAGTTTGAAAACCAACTCTTGAGACATAAAAGTGCCTGAAACACTCATATATGCTCATATATTTGCTTTTTTTTTTTTTTTAGATTAAGGACTCTGTTTCTCAGAAAACCATTGGTTTAATGCGAATGCAGTTCTGGAAGAGCGCTGTAGAGGATATTTACAGAGATGACCATCCAGCCCAGCCCGTCAGTGCAGAGCTGTGGAGGGTGGGTCTTCTTTTTATAAAAGAAAGATTCTGTCATAATTTACATTAAAAACTACCATTCAGAAGTTTGGAGTCATGAAGTTTTTTTTCAAGACTTTAATGCATTAAATGGCTCAAAATAGACATTTCTAATGTTATAAAAGATTTTTAATAATGCTTCAAATTAATGCTGTTTTTTAAACTCTCTTTTTATCAAAGATTTGTGAAAAAAACTGTATTTGTATTACTGTATCTTATGTCAAGTAAATGCAGTCTTGGTGAGCGTAAGAGACTTCTTTCAAAAACATTGGAGAAAAAAAAACCACTTGGCAATATCTTGGCCCTTTGAACGTATGACTTTCTTTTTTTCTGTCTAACACATTTTTGAAAAATGTATCTATACAATGACAGTCAGTGTCCAGTGTTGTTTGGATCAAAGCATTCTTCAAAATATTGGGCACTGATATACTATAACTGTTCTGTGTTCTCAGGCAGTGAGGAAGCACACATTAACAAGGAGGTGGATGCTAAGAATTATATCTGAAAGAGTAAGTAATTAGATTTGTCCTAATATATGTGACCCCGGAGCACAAAACCAGTCTTAAGTCGCTGGGGTATATTTGTAGCAAAAGCCAAAAAAAACATTGAATGGGTCAAAATGATCGATTTTTCTTTTATGCCAAAAATCATTAGGATATTAAGTAAAGATCATGTTCCATGAAGATATTTTGTAAGTTTCCTACTGTAAATATATTAAAACTTAATTGTTGATTAGTAATTTGGACAACTTTAAAGGCGATTTTCTCAATATTTAGATTTTTTTGCACCCTCAGATTCCAGATTTTCAAATAGTCGTATCTCGGCCAAATATTGTCCGATCCTAACAAACCATGCATCAATGGAAAGCTTATTTATTTATTTTATTTTATAAAATTTGAAAAAATTGACCCTTGTGACTGGTTTTGTGGTCCAGGGTCACATATGAGGAAAAAAACATACTGGAAAGTTCTCTTTAAATAACTGTGACAGCTGTCCGAGAGACGTGCATGGCTAATTCTAGACATGAATCTGTCATTCAGTGAGTCGGCATACTACGCACATTATACTGTCCTCTGGCAATTGTATTAAAAACATTATGTTTTGAAAAGGAGAAAGATCTGGAGGACAAAGCGTACAGGAACCTTCAGGAGCTGGAGGACTATGGCGAAAACACACAATCCTCTCTTCTTTACCTGCTTCTGGAGACACTTGGTGAGCAGACCTTTCTTGATCTTGATCTTCAACTTAAAGCAATAGTTCTTTCAAAATTGAAAATTCTATCATTTACACATCAGTATGACTTACTTTCCTAGGTGAAACACTGTAGATGTTCAATGGAATATTAGGACCTGACAGCCTCAGTCACTATTTACTGTGATTGTAAAAGGAAAAAATTGCAGCAAAATGTCAGCCACCTGAAGGATAACTGAATTCATTGCTTCCATTTTGAAAGGAACTATTAAAATGATGTTATTATAGCTTAGTCTTATCATTTGTTGATTTGCACTGTAGGTTTGCTGGTATATTTCTAATGTACACTACCTAAATCTACAGCAAAACAGTTATATTATGAATTATTGTTATAATTCAAAATAGCTGTTTTCTATTTTAATATATTTTAAAATGCTATTTATTTATTTAATTTTTTTCCATCGTAATGGCAAAACTGAAGCAGCCAGTACTCCAGTCTTCAGTGTCACATGAAATCATTCAAATATGCCGACTCGCTGCTCAAGAAACATTATTATTATCAATGTTAAAAATAGTTGTACTGCTTTTTTGTTTTTTTGGAAATGGGGTAAATTCTTTTTAGGATTCTTTAATGAATAGACAGTTCAAAAGAACAACATTTATCTTTAAAATAAAATCTTTTGAAATATTCAATTATGTCTTTACTTGACTTAACTTTTAATCAATTTATTGCATTTTTGCTTAATAAAATTCTTCTTTTTTTATTTTGACCCCAAACTTTTAAACTGTTGTGTAGTTTACTCCATCCTTCAAAAAGTCATAATCAGAAAAAAGTCCGCTGGTAAAATGCTGCAGAAACTAAACTAACTTATGAAATTGTATTGTTTTAAAGGTGGGATATGAGATTTTTCATGATATGACTCATATTTGAGAACACTTTTTTTGATTAGCAAGACAGTATTTGAAATTCAATATTTTATGCAAATCTGTTTAAAACTGGTCTCATAAAGTTGTATGCATTGTGGATCTTTTTTAACGTAGGTGTGAAAAATGTCCATGCAGACCATGCCGCAAGCCACATTGGCAAAGCCCAGGGCATCCTGACCTGTCTTCGGGCAACTCCCTACAACAGCAGCAGACGCAAGGTCTACCTGCCCATGGACATCTGCATGCTGGTGGGTAAATCTGTTATCACCCTGTCATCTCTGTTCCTTTCTGAAATTCCATGCTTTTCTAACATCAGAGGCACTAGTGAAGGACTAGAGACAATCCATGTGCCAGTCAGCATATATGTGGGTGAAGCGGTCCACTCCAGTGCCCTCTCGTCTGCTAAGCCCAAGCCCATGGCATTTGTTTCAGCCATCTGTCGCCATTTCAGCATGAACGAGCCATTAGAGTTGGGATTTAGAAGATCTTTCCCTTAGTGTAACAAAAGAAAATAATATTTTATCTGTCGTTTATCTTCAACTAATCTCAGCTAGATCCAGTGTACAGTATTAAGATCAAATTATGTTATGTAGATTGTTTGCCATGTGATTGCACATTCACCAAAAGGAGGCACTGTTGTTTCACCATAAACAACGTGGACATGTTTGGTTTCTGAGGTTATTAAATGCTCACTAAAACATAATGCATTTTAAATATATACTTCTTTATATGTAGGTTTTTAAATGTTTTGCTACTTCATAGGTAATTATTTGATTGTAGCATGAGGAAGTTCCTTAATAATTGTCTTTACTTATTGCTTTGAAACTTCCTTTCTTGAGGCAATAATGTACAGATAAGCTTTTAAACCTGTAATTGATGTCTTTAATAATGCGTTGGATTATGTTGAATTAAAAGAGACAGAAAAACTTTGAAAGTTTTATACTTTTAATCTAACTTTTGCTGAAACTGTGTGGGTTCAAATTTTGTGTGAGTCATGAAAACATGTCTGAGTCACATTTCACCTCTTCAGAATACCATCTTTTTGATTTTCGGGATAGTTAAGTATGTTTCCCCCATAATACTGAAATGCATTCAGATGTTTAACTGTTTTTTTGCGATTCCTATTATTCTCTGGGGTGATTCTCATTACTATACTACAGTAAAAACAAATTCTATATTAATAAAATGAAAACATAATGAGAAAGTACTGTAAAATACTGTAGTATTTCAGTAATTCTTACAAAATAATAGAGCATTTATCCAGATTCAGATCAGAAAAAGTACAGCATATTCTACCATTGGGAGTGATTATGGAACTTTCATGAAAATAAGTCATAGTGCAAAAAATGCTACATTTTCAAAGAGAAATATGACTTAAAAAATGTATTTATTTAATTTTTTTATATTGGTGGTGAAATATGATCTGCACATGTCCTAATTTGATTCACCTAGTAAGGTTTTTGTGATGCACAGTACTATACAGCTCAGCTGTGAGAATTTGATATCTTGTTTTTGATATCTTGACACGTTACTACACTACGTCTTCCAGGCTAGATCATTCAACGAGAACGTTCCACATGCGGCCATGCCTGCCTTCCTGCAAACGGTGAGTTATTTCATTTCTTTCATCTTTCAGCTCCTCTCCCCTCCCTACGCCTCACTAATGTGATGTGACACAGAGAAGCTCATGGCTTATCCTCATTCTGCCTCCAAAAAAGGCGGAGCCCCATCGAGCCACATGACACCTGCCCCCTAGAGGCACCACTACCAGCTCATGGTCTGATTACACATCTTAAGCCTTTTTTACTCTTACAGTCATTTCTCTTAAAGGGAGCCCGCCTCGGAGGAGCTGAGGGAATAACTCTTAGCGTATTACGAGGCAAAGCATAGGGAGGCAGGCTGTAATTTTCAGTCCAATTTCAGCCTATTTGCCGACTCTCAGTGTTTCAATTGCTTCGGCCAATGAAATGCTTTCTGTGAACTAAATGGCCTGTAAAGCATTTTTATATCACTTTATATTACTTTAATGTTCTGCTCTTACGTTCCATTTCTACATCCCTTTGTTTAACTGTCAGTCGCATTCTTTAAAGCTATCGTTTCCTTGCAGGCCATTTAGTAACACATTGCGCTCCACTTGCTTTGGCTGGTGTTAATCGTAACGGTGTTATCACGAAAGGACTTTACTGAAAGGTTTGGCATTTGAAGACTGTATTTTGTATTTGGGTTCATTTACAGGCGCAGGAAAAAGTATGTGAACACTTAGGTATTCTTCATGTGAATTGTGAACTTGTTTTTATATTATTTTTATTGAGCTCGTCGATCAGTAGCCTAGGGATTCACATGTGGTTTTTTTTCACATGCGAATCTTTGTGGTAATTTTTTTTTTTTTTTTTTTTTAAGAAATTGAATGCCTTTATTCAGCATTTTAGCAAGGAACATTAAAATTATAAAAAAAAATGCTGTCCTTTTGAACTTTCTATTTATTCGATAATCCTGGAAAAATATTATTTCAACAAAAATATTAAGCAGCGTAACTGTTTGCAACATTAATAATAATAAGACATGTTTCTTGATCACCAAATAATCATATTAGAATGATTTCTGAAGGATCATGTGACACTGAAGACTGGAGTAATGATGCTGAAAATTCAGCTCGTCATCACAGGAATAAATGACATTTTAATGTATATTAAAATAGAATATGGTTATTTTAATTTGTAATAATATTTTACTAATATTTCACTACTGTTTTACTGTATTACAGCTTTAGTTCGCATAAGAGACTCAAAAACATGAAAAAAATCTTACTGACCCCAAATTTTTGAACAGTTGTGTATGTTCAATGAAGACGAGCAAAAAAAGTTATTGAAGTAAATAAATTGTGTGTATATATTATTGCATACTTTTTCCTGCAGCTGTATCTCAACCCCACAATATCAAGAAGATCATTTAAATTCTTTGTTGACCAGCTGTATCATTTTTGCCTTTGGTTCTTTTTCTTTATACTTTTGCATTCTTTAAATAATGTATTATCCTCCAGGCTTGCTCAAAAGTAATTAAATGAATAGTTTCTGTCTTCTTTGTGTTCGGTCCCTCAGGTTGTTTTGGAGGACTACCTTCAGAGAGTGAGAAAAGCAGACTTTGATGTGTTTCACCCCAGCCTACAAAAGAGGAATCCAGTGCTGCCCCTTCAGCTCTATTTACGATCATGGACGAAGATCTATTAATTTGTTTGATTAAATCATCATCTGATTGTTGACAGATGAGTCAAACAAATCAAGCAGTTGTAATAAATTATCTAGCTTCTATATGTTCAGAATGTTAAAGTATTCCTGTCTTTTTCATGGCTGAAGTGTTCGATAACTAAATTTCCAAGCTTCACAGAAAATAACCACAATCAAAACAGGCCATTAAATTAAATTAAAATGTGTCTGAACTCAACAACAAATATCTCTAAACTTATTTTGAGAGATAGTACAAGCTATGTCAAACTGTTCTGAATTTGTTAAAGTATCTGCATAGTGTTGGTGGCATGAATCGAAGCAAATATTCTCCCAACTTGGTCAGTGGAACACGTTTCATAATAAATTCAATTTAAGACATTTGCGAACAAATTGGCAACAATTGAACATATTTTATAGGTGAGGAATGTGTCTCATGCCCTTTCTGATAGGCAAGGTCAATCAATTGTTTTTCACGCTGCAAGCGTGATGCAAGGTGGCATATTTTAGTGGCACAATCATGAGTTTATTTAGTCATCAAAAATACAGTCCTCCCACTGCCACAAAAGCTCTTATCTGATCGACAAGAAAACAACTCCTGGCTGTTTGTGACTGCTCTTGAACTGCAGAGAATATTTAGCTGGGAGCAAGGTCTTCTGCATTGCTTTGCTCAATTCATTCAGTCGCTTTGATAAAAGACAGAGATCTTGCAGAATCTGTGAAAATGTGAATAATTTTAACTAAGTAAGAGAGATCATACAAAAAATGCATGTTATTTTTTATTAAGTACTGTCCTATATTTTACATATAGTCCACAAGACAAAAAAATTGCTGAAATTATTAAAATAACCCCCTTCAAAAGTTTGGGAACCCTTGATTCTTAATACTATGTGTGGTTACCTGGATGATCCACAACTGTTTTATTTGTGATGGTTGTTCATGAGTCCCTTGTTTGTCCAGAACAGTTCAACTGAGCACTGTTCTTCAGAAAAATCCTCCATGTCCTGCAGATTCTTCAGTTTTGCAGCATCTTTTGCATATTTGAACCCTTTCCAGCAGTGACTGTATGACTTTGAGGTCCATCTTTTCACACTGAGGACAATTGAGGGACTCAAACACTATTAAAAAAGGTTCAAACATTCACTGATGCTCCAGAAGGAAACACGATGCATTAAGAGCCGAAAACTTTTGAACAGGATGAAGATGCCCAAATTTTTCTTATTTTGTTGAAATATAATTGTTTTCCATTTAGTACTGCCCTTCAGAAGCAACAGAAGATACGTGCATGTTTCCCAGAAGACAAATTAAGTAGGCCTACTTTACAGTCATTTAACGCGTTATAATTTCCAAAATAGGCTAGTAATTGTGCAGAGGATACTACATTTACTTTTTTAAATTGCATTTTTACTGTACTGTATTGTGGTGCATGCCAAGTTCATACAATTCTTTGGGTTTTTGAACTTTTATAGTGCTTTTCATCTACGGCAAGATTACGTGAAAATTATGTTTTCCCAAAAGTTAATTGCTGAACTATTCATCTGTATCTGTAATTTCATTTATGTATACTGTAATAGACATTGAGCTGCAAAAATAATTCTTGAATCCTAGTAAGAGTTTTTTGTTACACAGTGTTATTGATCTCAGTGTTCACTGGGCAGGAAAGTCATCTGTGTATTTGAATTGTGTGTAAGCATTTACAGTTTTTTTTCAACTGCTTGCACACAAAATCTTTATTTGTCACACAGTTTCTGAAACCTGACACTCAAACACCAGAAGCACACACCAAATTTGCAAAACCATACTCTAATTCTCTGCCTTTGACCTTTGTGTTCAATTTCATAAAACACTTTTTGCAAAACACAACACACATTTCTCTATGCAACACACACAAATCTAATAGGAATTAATATTATGGCAAAGGTGTTTGCAAATGTTTGCTTTTGAGATGTGTTTGTGATATTTTGAATGCAGTGCTTCATTTTGCAAGAGATGTGAGGCATTTTGCAATTTGTGTGTGCAATTGCCCAACACTGTCCCTCAATTGTCCTCAGTGTGAAAAGATGGACCTCAAAGTCATACAGTCACTGCTGGAAAGGGTTCAAATATGCAAAATATGCTGAAAAACGGAAGAATCTCCAGGACATGGAGGATTTTTCTGAAGAAGAGTGCTCAGTTTAACTGCTCTGGACAAACAAGGGACTCAAAAAACAAAAAAAACAGTTGTGGATCATCCAGGTAACCACACACAGTATTAAGAACCAAGGGTTCCCAAACTT